GGTTGTTCCTCCCCAGGTGCAGGACCCTGCATTTGCCTTTGTTGAACCTCATCAGGTTCCTCTGCATCCAAGTCTCCAGCCTATCCAGGTCTCACTGAATGGCAGCACAGCCTTCTGGGGTATCCACCACACCTCCCAGTTTGGTGTCATCAACAAACTTGCTGAGGGTACATTCTAACTCTTCATTCAGGTCGTTGATGAAGTTGAACAAGACTGGGCCCAGTACTGACCCTGGGGGACACCACTAGTTACCAGCCTCCAACTAGACTCAGCGCCACTGATGACAACCCTCTGGGCTCTGCCATTCAGTCAGTTCTCAATCCACCTCACTGACCACTCATCCAGCCCACACTTCCTGAGCTTCCCTAGGAGGATGTTATGGGAGACAGTGTCGAAAGCCTTGCTGAAGTCGAGGTAGACAACATCCACTGCTCTCCCCTCATCTACCCAGCCAGTCATGCCATCGTAGAAAGCTATCAGCTTGGTCAAGCAGGATTTCCGCTTGGTGAACCCATGTTGACTACTCCTGAGAGCCTTCTCTTCCTCCACTTGCTTAATGATGACCTCCAGAATGAGCTGCTCCATCATCTTTCCCGGGATGGAGGTAAGGCTGATGGGCCTGTAGTTCCCTGGGTCCTTCTTCTTGCCCTTTTTTAAGACTGGAGTGACACTGGCTTTTCTCCAGTCCTCGGAAGGAGAGAAGATCAGGCTGGAGCCTTCCTGAAGCCCTTGGCACACTGAGTCATCTGTCATAGCCAACATACTTGAGCATATTCGTGTAAGTGATAGAGGTCTGCCAACATACCCTCTCTCATCTTAGTCCTATTTCAACTCCACCAGTCCATCTCTGCAGTTCAGCTTAACATGTATGCCCAAGTCTGCCTCCAGACTTGCTAATTCTGCAGTCCCTCCTGTTACACTTAAGACTCCAGACCTTAAAGTACTGCTTCAGATGGAAGATAACTCTTCAAGCTTCAGCATGTTTAGTCTCAACTCTACCACTAGATCTGCTTTTGTTCTCTCTGGACAGCATGGCCTCTAAGATTAATATAAGTTTTAGAATTGTGTTTTGCATTTTGTTCTTGTGAAACAGTCCACCCAGACAGATAATCCACTTACTCTTAGGCTAGCAATGACAGCCATTTTCACCCAATTCAAGAACAAGGGTTCTCCTCTGCAAAGCGTCTTTGTCACCCAAAATTTGTGACAAAAGTAAATCAAAGCAAAAAACTGCATATGCATATGCCTTTCTCACCATACCCTAGCTGATGACGGATGCATGTGGAGGCTGCAGCTCCTAAAAAACCCAGCCAGCATGACTTCGCTGCAACACAGCTACGTTTTGACCACTATAGTTCTGATAATTTAATACTTATTATGCTTAACATTCAGATCAGTCAACCTAGTTACACCAGCGTAAGGTACATTCTAGTTAGACTTCTTCAGAAGAAGAATGCTTAGTGCAGTAGTCTTCAGGGAGGAAGAAACTCTCTGCCCTTACTTTGTAAACTTTAGCTAGGACTCTGTACTTGAGAAAGTCACTACCTCAGCACCATACACAGGAGGAAAAGGACAAGCTGGAAGACTAGTTTAAAAAACTAGTTCAACCAAACACATGCAAACTGGCACTGAATAACCACTAAAGTTTGAGAATTTGAGACCCACAAAGGGTGCACCTCTATTACAGAGACTTCTACCATTTAACCTGGTTTTAGCTATAGCAGGAATTATAGTTCTTCACATTTTAGGCCTTTGAAGGCACATCCCAAGTAGTCAGTACACACATGTAGCAACTGGTCTTCTGCTTTAACTCTGTGCTACCTATCTACCTTACAGTCTTCCAACTTACTCGTCTAGTTTTCCCCACTGTGACATTCAAGCAGATTTCACTGAAATCAGAAATGGCTTCAAGTATCCAAATATCACCATCCTCATCATCACAACATCCTTGGCCATGTTATGCTTATCTTTCCAGTCTAGAGACAGATCTGAGAGCGTTTTTAATGTTGTTGTGAAGAACAGATTAGAATGTCTCAGATCATTTTTAAAAAGTAAAAACAAAGTCAGTTACCAAAGACATTAATAGGAATCCATATTCTGTTTAGTTTGGCCTTCTAAGTGTAGGCTGTCATGACTCACTGCACTGAGAAGACACATCATTAGTTACAGGAAGATTTTAGGCAGAGTCACTACACTGAGATTAGAAAGACCACCCCCTTTTGGTATTTTGTTAGACAGAAGGTCTCCAGGGATTGCAGTATCTCCAGATACAAATACAGATATTCTTAGATTGGCTTGAAACATCCTTTCAGAATACATTTGCGTCACAGTGTACCTGCAACTGCCTTTGGCTTCTGTTCCCCCATCTACTTCTAGGCAATAAATACATAAAGCATTCAGCAATCTCCCCACCATACCAGTGCATGGAGGAGATTAATGGGAAATCCTGTAACTGCTAGCTTGTGCATAGACAGATAAAAGAGGGCAGCACATCTTTCTGCTTCCACATATTCTAGAAGAGAGGCACTTAGAGATAGCCTTGTTCTGCTGCTGGTTTGATGTCCAGTGTCAGAGCCACTTGTGCCAAATTTTCTGTTCTGTGTGCACCGAATTCCAGGCCACAGCAAAGCAGCTTAATTCGCCAGCTGTGACTCACCTTCTGCTACTCAACTATTATTTATTGCCTTGCAGCCTTCAGGCCGGACTGGAAGCCTGTTAGTACACTCAAGAATCTGTAAAAGCTTAACTTCAAAAGTTCCAGCTGTTCAGAAAACAGCGAGAGAGAAAAGAAGGTCCGAGCAGCTAACACATTAGTCTCATGTCTCCACCTTACCCCGGCAAGCTCACTCTCTCTCTTCTCCCTACCCCCTCAATAAACATATTTGCTGCTAGTCAGTGGCGTCACATGGTTTTGTGAAGTATTTCTCATCTTTGAGAGACTGAGCTACTATGCTACTTAGAGGCAAGTCCCCGAGAAATTAAGGACTTAAATAGCTCTCTACCCTGAACAGCCTAACTGAATACTTCTCACATAGCCTTGTCCTTGCTGTAGGGAGGGAGAGCAGAGAAACTTTTCCCCCCCATCCCAGGTGGGGAAGCTAAGGTATGCTAGCAGTGTTGCTACTTCCCAACAATTCTCCTCCTACAGGCCTTTCTAAATTTCTTTGCTTAAAAGAGGTGACAGTGGTGACCTCAGGCTTCTAGCATTTCACATCACACACAACATGAAAAACAGACTGCTGAATATCAGTATCAACTTCTTCGTATCACATAAGGTGGTCAGACTGCCAGCTTCAGCAACAAGTAGGGCTGCAGTTCTGCCTACTGAAGGCATGCAATAGCTACCAAGCCAAATGCTAAGATCTGTAACTCTGTGCTATTAAGTGTTAGCACAAATAGTTTTAAAATACTCTTTAAAACCAGCTCAAAAGGCCATCTTAAAAAACTGAGACTAGGACTTGATGCAGGTTTTTCGTAAGTCTCAGATACTTGTAAATCTAGATGTAATAACTGAGCAAACAGATGAAGTGCATTCCATTTATGCCACAACAAACGTAGTCACCAAACATATTACCCTACAGGAGGCTGCCAAGTTCACCTCGCAGGTGTGCCAACCAAGAAAAGTCTAAGCTTCATAATCAGGCAAGAACAGGAAGCTCTTCCCACACCACTAGAAGAGAATAAAGTACTGAATTTAAATCTAAAGAGACGTATCACCAAAATATCACCCTTGGAAGACAGACACATAACTGTCCTTAATAGCAGATTCTTGCTTACTACCTACGGGAATGAGATGTGTTGGCTGAGACTCTTCCAGCTTATTTCTCAACCAGTTGAAGTCTTGGTACCGCCGGCGGACAGAATACTCTGGCAGATCAAACTCTGCTCGCGTGGTCTGGAAAAGAAGAACAGGATATGCTTAGCATGCACCAAAACCTCTCACTTCAGAGCTTAACAGCCATCACTGGCAAGGGTCAGGCTAGAGAAGCCTTGCACAGGGACTCCATCCCCAAAATCGAGTTTGCATCCAGCACAAGAGAAAGATCCTCTGGCCGTTCAAGCAGTGGGAAAGCCAGCAATAAGAAAAATGATTACTCAGAGCTGATATGCTTTTAAGATCTATTCACACTTCATTACATGTTCCTCTCAGATACACTCTACGCAAAGAGTCTATGGGAAGGAGAGTACTGTGCACCATGTTAAATCTCAGCATTTACAAGTCCATAGGGAAGACTATGAGATTTTTGTTCCAAGGACAAAACTATTTTAGCCATCCAGAATTAAAAGCAAAGATTTTGGACTTGCTTATTCTATAAGGTGCATTAACTGTGGGTGAAAAAATGTTGCACAACTGCCCCATGTTGCAGAAGTGATAGGCTTATTACACTCCTGCAAGGCTAAGATTAAGCTAAAAGATAAGCTGTTGCTGGGTTTGCCAAAGGACTGTTTTTGTTGATTTCTGAGAGCAAGAAACGAGTTTGTTTACATTACATTTGTGTATGCTTGATTACAGATACCAGTATATCAAGTTAAAAACTTAAAGTTTTCATTCTTTAGGGTAAGGAGTTAAACTTACCATTACAAGTTTGAGACAGAAAGCAAGTATGCAGAGAAACTGCTGGCAAATGTTTTATCCAGCCCTCAAACAGTCCATAGCCTGGAAAGCTGACTGCACAACACATACTGCAACTGCCCAAAAGCACTACTGAAACTGTGTACTAACCAGGAGTCTCTGCTAAAGAGTATTTTTATAGCCCTGATTGGAAGGTAGATGGCTATTACTACATCCCACTGAGAAGCACAGCTCACAGGGAAGCCTACAGAGCTATACTTAGTCACTTGCAGCATGAAGACCATCTTGCAATGAAGGTGACGCTGCAGCGTCAGCACACTACATGTCTACAGCCAGACATCAAACCCACTGTGTTCTGGGGAATGCAACAGCTATCCTAGCTTTGAATTGGCACTGAGTCGCTTCGCTACTCCTAGCCCCTACAACCTCCTGTTGAATTCCAGCTGCGATTTTATACTTACTTGCGGACTGAGCAACTGTCACATATTTGGAAAGAGACATGTTTCAGCCTTTAAATGCAATCCACCTCTTCACTTGCTCTCTGGATGGCTCCTACTCTTTGGTTACTGCACGTTACTCCCACCAATCCCCACCAGCGATCCTGTACAAGTTCTGTGCCAGAAATCTCTTTCTAGTGGGAAACCAGCAGACTTAACACACTATCGACAGAACAGTACCTCTAGTATACTGTAAACAGCATGCTAATGTGATATTACCTGTGAAATGGTTTGGTTTCTAGAAACACAAGGCACAGAGACAAAAAGGAAGAAATCAAGCTCACCTCCTCCCTCCTTTGACCAGCTAGCTGTAGTAAGAGATATACACATCAGTCCATGGACTAGCATAATGAATGCTCACCAATGGAGCAGTTGTGATTCTAGATGAGGGATTACCAAGACCTAGATATCCACTGCGGGTTTGTGCTTTACTCAGCTACCTCTCAGCTTAACACCAGCTTATTTAACATGTTGGAGTGCCACACTATAAATGAAACTTCTGAGACTTTGTATGAACCATTTTCACTAGTTTTGAGTAAGAGACTGAACAGCGTTACACCAGAACAAGATAATTCATGCACTTGTAGACAACCCCCATCAGCCACTGGTGCCAACTGCTTTGTTCTGTTAATAGGTCAGCTACACCTCAGCCTTGCAGCAGATAACCTGAAATTTAAAAGTAATGATTTAGTAGCAGGGAGAGATTTTGTGAACTGGCTGTCACTGGGCAAAGGTCTCTTGAAAGATCAGACAGTAAGTGAACAATAGTAATCAGGATGTATACACACTACAGATGCCCTGTAGCATGAGGATGAAGTTAGTGCCTCCCATCTGTTAGCACCAAGAACCTTATTAACCAGTATTCTGCTAACAGTCACAGAAAACTCTATTGGTACTATTTAGTCTAGAAGTAGGAAAGCAGGATAAGTCCCAGTGCACAAGCTTTACATTAGTTACCGTTCCTTTCCAGCAAGCTGCTCCTGCTGCTTTTACACCACAAGCAGATTTGCAAAGTTTTCCATATACTAGGTTTTGTTCCTCAGAGGAAGGCAGATGAAAATACATGAACAGCCATCAGCATTTCAGTGTTTGCTCTACAGGCTGTCAAATCTAGACAGCAAATAAGCTTTTCAAAGACTACTTGGACAGAACATAAGGGCCCTTCAAGGTTTTAATGACACCTCACTAATGCTGAAAGAATTTGGATCTCAGATCAAACTGTTCATTAGCTTAGCACAAGTTATTTTTTTCCAGACTGCACACAAAAGGGAAGAGGGTCCTGCCACTGTCCAGAGACAGCAAGTAAAATGTCTCTGGTTTTGACACAGTTGAATTCCTCCTGCTTTCTTAGCAGGATCCATAAATCTCATCTTGCAAGGACATGTGTCTCTCCCAAAGGAAGCTGAGAAACTTATGTGGCAGATCCCAACCTCCCAAAAATAATGCGCAAGACATTTCCAGGGTTTTATTGAAGACTCCAGCACATTTCCACTAGGTCAGCACTGCGGTACTCTGGGGTCAGTTTTACTTGCTGGAAAGCAAGCAGGGTTACAGACACTTCTACCTCTGTTATTGGAATAGTTTCGTCTTGAGGCAATATTAAGGCAATCACCAAGTCTTGGTCCTGTGTAAGATTCTTGTCTTCCTTGAAAGGAGTTAGCAGCCAAATGTAAAGCTAGCCTGTGATGACTATGTGAAAGTATTTCTGTACCCTAGTTCTAGTCTCTTACTTGCTATACCTGATGGTGGATTCCCCACCACATTAAGTTTTGGACAAAACCTTCAACTAGAAAAAGAGGAGAATGGCAGAGGGGGGAAGGCAGCAAGATCGGTGTTCTTAGTAGTTCATAGTTGTGTTTGCCTCAGTTTAGCCTGTTTGAAAAAAAGATCATAGCACTCATGCCTGCTCCTCTCTAGGGATCAAGCTGTTTCACATGCTCAGGTCATCTACCCAATGCACGCACTGGAAGCAGGAGGAAACAGACAGGAAAAAGAAAACAAGACCTCCACTTCAGTGCTGACTGGTTTGAAAGCCTCTCCTTTCAAGCCTGCAGAGCAACTGCACGACTCTGAGGAATGGCACACAGCTGTTCAGACCTCCGTGGGAAAAGGCATAGAAGGCAGCCTTGTTGCCCTACAAAGTACAACAGAAGTGAGGTTACAAGTACACTTACTTACGCTTCCCTCAGGAGAGACGACTACATGACATACGGGTAAGCTTTTTTTCCCCCCTCCCTCCTCAGAAATATCTTCTTGATAAAATCCCTCTACAGTGCTCATCAGCCTATCTTGAAGAGCACAAACGTGTATCATCAGAAACACCCGAGACACTTCAATTATCATAGCCAAGACCAATTAAGTGCCACCACAAGTTTTGCCCACCTTCTTGGTTTCACTAACCTCCTCATACAAGAAAACGGCTGTTAGCACGACATAAACAGGGTATAAAATAGTCAAGAGAGACAGGTCTGAATCACTGTCCCCATTATCTTGGGGATTCCCATTTGTTCTTCAAATGTGTTCATACAGAAGACAGGCTGGGGAATGCTACCTGGCTCTTACTAGGAAGCTGTGAAAGCGTGGGCACAAGCAAGACCAAGTAAACTCTAAGCTTTCTTCTCAGCTTCCCTGCAAGCCATTGTTTTGGACCAAATACTTTGGACCCTTCCTCAGTCACCATCACCTGTTGACAAAGCTGTAAGTAGATGAGAAATCTCGGGCATACTGCATTCTCTTTACTGCTGTTCCAGTAAAGGACCTTTCTAGAGAAAGAAAAAGCCCACAAAAACAAGACTGTGGTCAGGTTACACTCAGTCACAGCCACAAGCACACATTACAGCACTTAGCAATTACATTCCCCTCTTCTACCTAGTGATGCTGCTTTTTACAGCAAGGAAGTCTTCAGCATAACTCATTCTAGGACCCATGTTCACCCAAACCCTTGAGGTTCCAGTAGCATCCTTCAGTGGAGAAAGAAAAAAGCATCCATGCCTCCTCATCCAGAGCCACCAGAGACCCTTTCACCCCTTGCCAGCTCTCAAACCTCTCTCATGCAAGGCTACAAGGGAAGTGGTGTGAAGCTATGTCCTTACACTGATGACAAGAGCACAGTCTGCTGTAGGACTTTGACCTACAAGCTGGAGGTGCAAGCATTAACACTCCTCATGCTTGCTGTCTAGGGATTATTGCTGCACAGCTTTTTTGCCATGTTTAATTACTGCTTTCAGCTACAATGGCTGATTGGGCAATTAGCTTGGCATCAAAGAGGCCTTGTTTGTATGGTAAGAATGAGTCAGATTATTAATACTGTTAGTCTTCCAAACCCTCTTTTTTAAAACAATGGTAGATAGTGCTAGAGGTGCTGACCCTAGAGGCTAGCCAGACATTTACAACAATAAACCCAAAGACGTGAGGCTTTCGTAGTGATTGATAAGAATAAGTTATGCACTGTTTCACAATAGTATTGTAATGCTATGACATAGCAGATTTATGTGCAATAGTGAGATCCCAAATAAAACAAATATTAACAGACAGGTAGGTAGCTACGCAAAAATCAGAGGTACAGGATGCGGGTTTTATTATTTTTGAAAAAGCTACTGTTTGGCAATACATCTGATCTAAATACAAAAAAAACCTTACCCACATTCCAGAGTTCTGCTTTAAGAAGGAAGGAAACCCTTGTACGAACACAGGAACATTATTAGGGTGCCACTGGGTAGAGATATTTTATCTTGACAGAATAATCAGGTTTTAATTTAAGGGAGAAACAACTTCAGCCAATATTAGCCATTTGCCTGTGGAAAGTTGCATCTCATTTTGTGCTTCCTATTCCTTCTGATTATACACCAGCTGAAGGCTGTGTTGCTCCAAACAGTAGCTTCCTACAGTACTTTTTAGTATTTTCTAGTAGTCCTGCAAGATTAAGACACTTAGAGCAATTAAAAACGACAGGCCTACATTAAGTAGAGGTAGTCACTGTTTCAGAGAAACCACATTTTCTCCTATGCAGCCTGAAAGTGGAACTCTGGAGTAGACATTTAAAAAAAAAAAAATCTGTGGCCTGTAAAGGCTTCCTAATCTCAAAGGAAAATAGTGTCTCCAGTATATAGTGCCATGTAAGTAGGCCAGAGGAATGTTAATCTTTTTGGACAAGTGGATCAAGTATATTCCTACTGAAGTTAGTGAACACTTTTTTGCCTTGGGTAACTACAAGCGCCCAAAACAGATGTCAACATTACGTAGTAGCTGATGCCAATGAGCTAGTTAAGAGAAATCAATGTTCCAGTTGTGAGTGCAGTGGACTTCTCACACCACTCTTCCTACTAATGTAATTAGACTGCATTAATGATTAAACTACAACACATGCTGAAAAAATCTCCAGCATATTTCTTTCGGTAGGCAGTAACATTCTCAGGCTATTTAGTTTCAGCAGCAGCTAGACAGCCTTCTGTACCAACAACTGCAAGGAAGCTAGTTTACAGCTGATGATCAAAATTCTGATTTAGGTAGGTGGCTGACAGAAGAAGTGTGGTAAACACTTAAAACAACAAGCTTAAAGCACTTCAGAAAAGCATAGACACAAAGTGTGAGATGATTAACAGTGAATCAACTACAAGGCACTTTCCTCTTCAGGGTAGGTAACTCCAGCCAAATGGGTGTCAGATTACTTTATATGAACAAACTTTCAAGTTAATGAAAGAAACTGGCCTTGCAAGTTTACCAACAGTTCTATTTAAGAGTCAGAGACAAAAATCGAAGCTGACACATTATAAGTTTTGCATAGTTTCACATACTGAAGTAGTAACAGTTCTGCTAAGAGAAGTCACACCTTCACTGCATTCACAAGGTACTGAAAGACAGTAAGTTCTTATATAAAGAAATACAATGCAAGGCACAGACATCCAGGACATGCCCTAAAAAAACTCCCCAAAAAAAGAGGACTAGGAAAGGTGGATGTTGCTTTGTACCTTTGTAGTAACCCTGTATGTGATATACGTCTCCATTGTGCACACATGTTTTTTGGGATCATCAACAGTAACAAAGAGGTCTCTAGTTTCCCCATCCAAGTCGTCATCCAGCTGCAGTCTGTTGAGGAGAGATGAGGAGGAGGCTGGGCTAGAAGTGTCCACAGGTGTGCCATTGGGTAGACTGAGATCCTGTATTGGAGAAGAAAAAACAGCGAGTTTTTAGTAAATGAACAGAACCACTGTAAAGCACAGTATTCTCAAAGACACACTGGTATGTTACCAGGGCTATTTATTTCTATTCCAGCAGCCCCACAGATCGCCCTGTTCCGAGACAATCCCCTAAGCTCTGGGCTTTGAGCACCAGGCTGTTCTAACATTCCACAAGTTGAAGAGAAAGTACATTACCACCATTCCTCTCCTTAGTACGGTGCAACCTCGGTTTTATTCATGAGGAAACAGGAGTATTGCTGAACCAACAGTTCCTGGTGGGACTGAACCGAGATGCTGAACACCAAACAGCTAGGCAAATCAAGAGACCTGCTTATAAGACAGGCTTCAGGCAAAGTGGCAACAGTTCAGCTGACTGGAATGCAGTCAGCCTTCACCTCTGGAGACTCCTGTAGTAGAGGAAGGCGGGCATGCTTGTATCAGAGGCTTCCCATCCAGCCCATGAACTTCCAAACATGTTGACAGCAGTCAGAGACTGAAGTGGCATCACTGCACTACAGGACAATCACAGATGACACGCTCCAACACCAGTGTCTATGCACACCTCCCTTTCGGACTCCTAATGTCACTGAAAACACTGTGTTTTCTTCGGAGAGGTCCCCATTCCCATCCTCTCAAGTCTAAGAGGATCATCCAGCACCTAGGGAAGACAGAGGCTAAAAGAACCAGCATACGGCTATTTCAGGGCAAGACATACATGGGTTTGGGAAGTCTAATTCCTTGAAGCTGACTCAGCAGCAGGGAAAAAAAAAAAAAAGACACCCAAAACTTTATAGCTAGCTTGGTAGATTCCCACACCTTTGAGTCTCACACTTTGATATAGACCAACTATTCCATACAGCTAGTGGTTATTCCTCTTTGCATAAATATCACAGCAACTTCACATGTGTTCTCTGCTCTGGTTTTCTAGCAGAGGGAGCTGACAGCATGTCACAGGTTGTACAGTATGTAGGAACACAAGACAACAGTATTAGAGAATCCCAAAGGTCCATGGTTGCTCTTCTCAGAGAAGAGAGGAGGCTTTTTGTTCGTTAGTTTTAACTAGTTGCACAGGACCAGACTTACATACAGTGTCTCCCTTGTAAGGACGAAGGTTCCTCTGGTTGCCAGACAGAGCAACACCACTACATCTAAGCAGCACATTAACTAGAAGTGTTTAAGAATTACTGCTTAGCCCCAGCTCACACAGTTTTTAAGTGGCTAAATGAAGCGTCTAATCTTAGCAAAGCGATCCTGTTTGGTTAAGATCCTCTTTGTCCATTAGTATTCCTTATGCAACTGTGGTTTATGTTCCAGCTGGATGAGGGTAGTCCCTGTCTTCAACAGAAGTCCTCCTCTGTTCAAGGTTTGCAGAATTTCAGGTGCTGCTTCAAGTTAAAGCTGCTTATGAAGGTCTACCTTTGACAACAGCTAGAAACAGAGCTAAGTTCCTACCAGTCTTTGTCACAAACCCATAATGGGAGTACTGGGATTTTACAGACAGCCCTCTGCCTGTTGCAGTCCTGCAGAATGGTGGTAGTATTGCTCTTTACCTGGAAGACTTCCTTATGAGGTAGAGAGAATAATGCTTTAGCCTAGACATTTCAGGAGAGGGGTGATCTAAACAATTGTCTACGAACAGAGATGCTAGATGTATTCTCCCAGCTAATGCTGAGAAGTAGTTGCCAAGAGATGAGAGATTCCCACAAGCGAGCAAGAACTGGGAGGTAGGCACTCAAATACTCTCTTAAGAGGGCAGACGAGCAGGATGAGCATGGCACAGCTTGCCAGCTCACGTATGAGGTAGACAGCTTGAACCACACAAGTACCTGGCTCGGGACTCAATATAGCAGGAGCATGTACATCAGGAAGAAGCAACGCTACAATAACTCAGCAAATAAGGAGTTCTGCCGGAGTTACACAAACAGAATAAGCAGAAGACAGGATAAGATTAGCAACAGGAGATGGCTTCAGAAAATCTGCAGTTCAGCTAGACAGGAGAATTTGAGCCGAGTAAAGAGCAAAGCAAACCCTGGGACACCACAGTAGCTGCAGACAAATATGTTCCTGTTTCCAAAAGGAAAAGACAGCTCTTCATTGCCCATGTGCAATAAGCATTACTGTAAGACATGCTGTGCCAGAAATGCAGCCAGTCAACTTCTAAGCTTCCAGTATGGAAATGAATTAACTTGCAGAAACAGCTTAAGCCTGGTTTGTGCAGGAGATGTCAAAAGCTTGTAGCAAAACCCTTCCAAAAGAGAGTTTAAAGAATATGATGGAATCTGCTTAAAATAAGAGAATTCTGTATCAAGGTGTCCAGACAACTGGAGGAAGGACCAAAGATGGAGCTTGCAGCCACTTGCATGAAGTTAGCAACTTTCCTCACCAATTCTGCTGGGAGATGACAGTATCATACTACTATGTCTTGCACTTTTTAAGCAGAGCAGAAGTCTGTGAAGGCTGGAATCCACTTCAATCTACTTGAGTGTTCTTGCAGTCATGCATCCTGTGGAATGTCTCAGGTCTTAAAATAAAGGCTGTGATAGTTTTACCTGATCTCATCCTTGGATGAAACAGCCTACACTGAGATCAAGCAAAGCTTCTAGACCAGATCTGGTAAGGAGCAGGATGTCTGCTAGCTGGCGATGGGGAGAAGGACAGAAGATGTGTACATTGAAGGTACTACTGTGCTATACTACCTCACCTGCAACGGCAGAACCCTTCCCTGGCAGCCACAGCTGACATCACGCCCTGCTACTTCGGTAGTTTTCCGTAGTTTACGGCAAAGTTCAAAGCTAACTATCTGTCCTTCTTAATGGGTGGAGCCCTCCTAGTTA